AGAGTGTTTGGTGTGAGAGGTCACATGAGAGATTGGGGACTTTGATGTGGTAAACTTAGGATTTCTTCTAAAGCTATGGTGGCAAAGTGAGAGAGTGCAGAATTTGGCTCTTTTGTACGGTGTCTCTAGTTAAACACGTTATAATCATGTGCTCTTAATACATGCCTTGTTCACCCTGTATAAAACTGACCGCTGATAGAAATGCCCAGAATAGCAGATGGCTTTTCTCAGGATCTAACAGACACAAGCATGCTGTAAGAAATCGCTTCCCTTGAGAAATGCTACGTAGTTCTCACCCTAATGGGCATAACCCCTGTACTCTGAGACCATTCTTTTGGGAAGGTAAGTGTCTAAGTGTAGGCAGGGACTGAATGGCTGAAAATTCAATAGCCATCTAACAGATGTTAAACAGGGTCATCCTTAGTTCTTTAGCATAGACTGCTGTTTCTGCCAGTTAGTGAAGATAGTAAATGATAAATATGCTCTTCTCCCCCCGCCCCCCATGAGTATTAATTGGGACACTGCAACAGACAAATGCAAATAATGCAGCAGCAGACTGATGACAGCATGAGTGTTCAATCCTGACATCTTTGGATTTGCATTCAAGCTCACTGACAGCAGATTTTTGTTGACTGGATATAATTCAGATAAAGATGCGTCATTCATTCGTAGATTTTAAAGTCAGACTAGACCACTGTGGTCACCGGGTGGAACTTCCTGCATAGTGCAAGATACAGAGATGCACCCAGTAATGCATGAATCGCGCTCATACTGTCAGTTTGAGCAAGAGCACATCTTATTACAAATCTGAATTTCAAGAGCATACATGATGGAGAATCTGTTGGGTGGGTTCCTAGGTGGGTTGTCCCTGTGGTTAATTACTGTTACCATTGAAATGTTGCATCTTTATGTTTAAACTAAAACTGCCCAGCGTCAGCATCCAGGAAACCTTGACACCAGTTGGATCTTCTGAGTGCTATGACTACGGCCCATCATGCTGATTGGTATCGTCTTGGCGCATCCATCCTGTTGGTTTGTATATCTCTGCTTTCTCTTACCTTGTACTCAGGCTGTCTGCAGTTTGGAGCAGGGACAGTCCTTTTGTCCTGCATTTGTACCTGGTACACTGGGTTCTGGGCCAGGACTGAGGGTTGTAGGTGCTACAATAATACTGCTACTACAACTTGCGGTCACTCTCCCTGGCCAATGCCACGACCATGCTCAAGCAGCTGTTGACTGCAGCTACAAAGTCCTTTTTAATCCCAAAGAATCATAACTTTGAAGGATTGGAAGGGGCTTTGGGGGACATCTAGTCTATCCCCCAATACAGATGCAGGCTCCACAATTGTGTTCCAAAATACAGTCTCCCATATTTTCAGAGTGACCTACAGTTTTTGTTCCTAACTGTACCTGTTTTAAAATGCTTGTTGGCCAAATGAGGCTTCTTAACCCAGCAGTCCATATAGAGTTACATGACTAACCTGTGTCCATCACTTTCAATACACCTCCAAATTGTGTGTCAGTTTGAATATACGATATACACACAACGAGAATTGTATGTTTCCAGGAGTGTTGTGAGATTGTGATTAGAAAGTTTCATGTAATCCACAAATGTTGGGCAGCCTGACTCAGTTAACTTTGATGACTGGCTGAATTTCATATTGATCATAGTTTCTAGGGTCGGAAGGGACCTGAGCAGATCATCTAGTCCGACCCCCTGCCATGGCAGGAAAGAGCACTGGGGTCAAACGACCCCAGTAAGGTGGTCACCCAACCTCCTCTTAAAAACCCCCAGGGTGGGAGCCTGCACCACCTCACTTGGAAGCTGGTTCCAGACCCTAGCCGCCCTGACCGTGAAGTCGCGCCTCCTGATGTCCAACTTAAACCTTCCCTCTGCCAGCTTGTGACCGCTGTTCCTGGTCACTCCTTGCGGCGTTCGGGGGAACAGGGACTCCCCCAGCGCCTGCTGATCCCCCCTAACCAGTTTGTAACAGGCCACAAGATCCCCCCTCAGCCTTCTCTTTTGAAGGCTGAACAGGTTCAGGTCCCGCAACCTTTCCTCATAGGACCTACCCTGCTGTCCCTTGATCATA